TCGATTTATTATTTAACAATAATGGAGATTAAAATTCATATATTTTTTAAGAAGCTAAAACAGTATTGTTTTTTATTATTCATTTCTAAATTATTTGCTTAATAATAAAATTGTACATTGTTTGTTTTCTTCTGAATAAAACGAAATGAGTTTTTTTAGCGACATTTTTAAGAAAACGGTTTGAAATGGTTGATTGGTAAATGAAAATTTCAAATCCATTTTATTATTTTATATTCTGAGAAATTATTTATTGTTAAAATAACGATTATGCCTAGATATTTTTGGAATATATTATAAGTTTTCTTTAATACTTTATAAATTAATACTTTTTAATAACTAAAGCAGTATTATTTTTGAAAGTCATTAATCTAACAGAAATTTGAAGGAAGATCTAATCTCTGGGGAGAAAAAGAGGGGAAAAGTTTCACACTCAAAAACGCCCGTGCAACGCCGGGTTATATGAAGGAAAAAAACCTTTTCTAAAAAGAAAAGTGGAAGAAATTTCGAAAAAAAAAGAAATTAAATGACATTAATACAGAAACCACACACCTCAGGAAGTGAGGAGATCGATAGAGGAAAGGAAATTTTCATGGGTAAAAGTTATACACACTCTCGAAAAAGACCGTTAAATGCCGGACTATTTTTGCTTGAATATTTCTTGTATTGAAACAGTTACTAGGGATATTGGTTATTCTTTGGATGAATGTATTGATAGTTCATGAATAGCTATTTAACTCTAATAGTATCTTGAAGTTGGCTCTATAAATACAGTAATAAAATGATAAATATAATTTACTGTATAAAAGGTTATATTTCGAGTAAAACCTGTTTTTGTGGGCCCCATTTCTTATGAGATTTAATTTTTGTGTGATTTTCTTAATGCGATATATGAATATCAGCGGCGTTGGTGCCACAGTAAAAGTTTCTATAAGTTTACATATACACTTGCTAGAACCATAAGAAACCATATAGCAAAGGTAAAATTTAATAGAAATATTATTTTTTTCTAACAAAATTTCCCGAATTTGTTTATTATTATTTTGATATTGAGCATGCAAGAATTCGTTAATTTTGAATTAAAACTACTTAGGAATGAGTCAGGATTTGCATTGGCAAAATGCTGTCCAGAGGGGGAGGAGGGGGTCGAGTCCTTGTACTTCCTAACCATACAGGTAGTACTATCGATCCCCTAAATATCAACCCCATATCTTTAAAAAAATGGCTGTGACTTGTTCATTTCATCATTTCACTAAAACAGTTTGGAGATTTGATTAAATCACTTACTTACATAAGGGAAATGACCTCAAAGTGATGTTATTTTAATATCCTGCGTGAATTGATCATCTCCCTTAGAGATTCGATGAGTCCTCATTACAACATTTTCCTGCGACATATATACACTTTAAGACGCTCTGTCCATTATTTTTATTAAGTTTCCCCGACAATGCAAATGATCAATCATTCAATTGAAATTGTATCTTCAAGTGACGAAAGCGGTTTTTAACCATTTCATCATAAGATGATACGCGTTTTGGATTATTTCGAGTAGCAGTGAATTATGTATGAGCGTTTTGAAGACTTCTCCATGATACAATGAGAAATTAAATGTTTTAAAAATGTTTCCATGTGTGTTTTAATTATTTGTTTTGCTTGAAAGCACTTTCTCATGTATTTCGTAAATAAATGATGTATTTTCTAAGTGCGACTTTTTTTATGCGGTTCCTCACAACCGCTTAAAAATGTGTAGTATGTCAACAAAGTTATTTGTTATATGCAAGTATTTATGAAATTTCCAAACATTATTTTTGTGCGGTTTCTTTCATGGGATCCCTATCTACCTCACGAAAATAGTTTTTACTGTATATTCACTTATTTTGCAATTTGAATAATTTAAACACTAGCGCGGAAAGGAGATTCTTAGACAGTTAAATATTTTAATCAAAAATAGTTAAAAATTCTTTTTACCCAGAAATATAAAAGCAACTTTCTAAATTTTCAAATTCCTTTCGAAGCGGCAAAGAAAATAAGTTAAAAAAAAAGAGTTAAAATTTCAGTTTTTTTTTTTTTTTTTTTGGAAAAAGTTGGATAATTAAAAATGATTTCTTTCGAAATATTTGGTTTTAAAAAAACTATTAATGTTCCTTTTTATTTGTGGGCATATGTAAAGCATTTCATGTAAACTTTGAAATTAATATATTCTATAAATGTTGAAAGAGATAAAACAAAAGCGGTAAAACAAAGATAATATAAAAGTTATAAGTAGAAATTTTTAAGAAATGCTTAAAATTCTTATGGAACAGGTTTGTGATTTATTCTAAAAGTTAAAAAAACAACATATATATTATTTAAAAATGTGAAGTTAATTTTTTTATTGTTTCGCATTCGAAAATGTAATTATTTCTGACTTTGAATACTATTCCTTCTGTATAAAAATTTAAATAATTTTTTAAAGAGAGAAGGAAAATTTTCAGAATATTTTTCTTTTATCCTTATCAGTAGTTAAGATAGAACATTTATAATTTAAAGAGGTTTTGATTTGAAAAAGAATAAAACAAGTAATTTTCCTCCTATACTTCCATGTTGGTAGAAATTCAATTATTTGAAAAAAAAATCTTCTTAGTTTCAAAAGATAATTGTAGATTTTTTTTATGATTAATATTAAAATATAGCGATTTTAACTTTCCTCTCTAACTTTCTTACAGATGCATTAGAATTATATGTGACCTATAAAAGTTTTTTTTTAATTGTAATCAAAATTTCTTCGATAACTTGAAATAGAAATATGTATATGTTTTTATGCGAAATAAAATTTTCTTTTACAAGAAATACGTTTTTTAGCTAAAAAAATCATAAAAAATTAAAAAATCTGGTTTTTTTAAAAAAGGTTATGCTTAATTAAGGTTTTAGTTTTTCTATGTATATACGATTACAAATTTTTAGGGTATTCTGTAATCGCCTCCCACCTGGGGAAGCCATCTCTTCATCTACTCGACCTAAATCTGAAGGGAGTAAGGATTGATAACCCAAACTAGCCATGAGAAATCCAATTTATTATTACCAAATCTAATAAATTAAGACGAGCCAACTGTAGAGGAAAATCCAGAGTGATATAACGGTAGCTCAATACCTTATGTGAATAAGCGCATGAAATCCTAATAGCATAACTTTACTCAAAGTTATTTTAAGAATCCTAACTACCTTAATTTATTTGAATAGCTAAATCCCGTCCTATAATAACACGTATAAATTTCGATCCTTATCGTAACAGCACAGCTTTCCGTAACTCATCTTCTTTTACTTCGCTCTTCGATTACATACTTCTATATATGCATTATCTAATCTGCATATTAAGGTTTCTTCTTGAGAGGGATGGCTGTGAAATAATTCAATTGCTGGCCCCAAAGATTCCCCAAGAGGATTAATAGAAAAACACGTAAAGTCTCGGCACAATCCGAACACGTCGAAATGACTAATTTTGATCAAAATACGCATTTTTTAAAAAATTTTATTGAATAGATCAGGGAAGGTCAACCCACAATCGGAGAGATTCATTACAATTTTACAAAATATGATTATTTTGTTCAATATTTTTGTTTTTAGTGTGGTGTTTTCTTACAAACATATCATGTACCTGTTTCTATTTTATTACATTGCATCTGTTTTTTAGATGAAGTTTTCTAGAGTTCTGTTTTTTCTGCTTTCTGTTTTTCTATTTTATTACTGCTCTATTCTGTTTATACATAATAAAAAGAGAGCAGTATTGCATTGCTGCCCCCTCCCGCAGCAACACGTTTGATTCCTGTAACTTTATTGCACTGCTTATTGATAGAGATAGGCATATTTGATTATTGCATTATTATTATTAAATTATCTATTTTTGTATACCTGAAAAATAATGAAAACAATAATAATAATTCATTCCTTTTTAAACTTTCGCTCTAATAAATGTTTGTAATGGGTCCAAATCTAATATAAAGATATATATTTTTATATGTGGCTCGCGGGATTATAAAGTTTTCCCGAAGTGACTCGCAAAGACATTTGTGTTGCCCCCCCTGCAATAGATCAATATTTTGGCTTTAAAAATATATATTATTTTGTTTCTACGTTACATAGAGGTCAAGTTACAATGAATCACATAAAAGATGAACTGGACGTGAGTCTTTAATCTACCAGAAGTGGGCTTTTAAATTGTTAAAAATCTATATTGGTGATTCTGATAACTCAAAATATTATATTTGTATTTCTATGAAACTTTTTGAACCTGATATTTATATTATTTTCTAGGGAAGGTGAACTAAAATAATTCTTACTGTATGTGTCTTAATACTTCACACTCCCCCTATATATATATATATATATATATATATATATATATATATATATATATATATATATATATATATGTCATGATTTTTAAGACAGAGTCAGATTAAAGTTAGAAAAGTCAAAAGACGATCTTTATTCATTCATTTGTACATCTGTTCTGACGCTAAGAGCAGGGAGTAAAAAGCACGCCATGGTGGTGGTTTCAAGTGGATAACACTTGAAAAACATATGGTAAGTATCGCTGCTTTGAAGAGGTTGCTTGCAAGTTAATGCTGACATATGTTGACTATTAAATCTAACGATCTGGAATTAGACATGCTTATTGGCTAGGCCATATGTTCGGAAGAAATAAATGGGTGATTAGTTTGATACTTGAAGATGAGACCTGAGAAAGATGAATCAAGTGCTAGATAGGGAAATTAATTTTTAATCTAATTTAATTATCCTTACATATATATATATCTTGTTCAAATTTTCAATCGTTAATAAAATACTTTCTATTCTTCAATTTCAGTTAAAATACCTTTTTTAAAAATTATAGTGGAAGACACTTGATGTTAATACAGTTTTTTCAAATATCAATTCATTAATTAAATTGAAAAGTGAATAAATAGCAAACAAAAATAATAGTCCAACACCATATATGTAAAGGAAAATCATTCGTTGTGTCTATGTAGAGCAATGCACAGCGCATTGGATTTCTAATCCAAAGATTGGGGGCTCGAATCCCACCTGGAATGGCCTAATTGCTGAGAATATGATTTGTTTTTACTATACCATTTTATTGGAATAATTAAATTTTATGAATGTGTAAATTGTAACAAACAAAAATAACAGTCCAACACCATATATAGAAAGGAAAATGGAAAATCGCTTTCTACTTTGCCACTTAATATTGTGATTCTGCCATATGTATAAACATATTTATATTAATTGTAATTTTTAATAAAAAGTAACTAAAATAAAAAATTTTCTTTGTTGACCTAAGTAGGAATTGAATTAAGTTGTTTTATATTACTCGTTGACTTATGACATGTTATTTCAATAATAGTCCCTATAAATATATCCCATTTCTTACAATATTTATTTAATCAGTTCTAAATTTTTGTATATTTTAATGAAATATTAAAAACTTTAATACATCCCTAAATAAATGTATGAAGTTTAATTTAGCAATACTTTTCCTAATATGTTTTTGTATTTTTTTCTTTAACTGCTTTAAAGTGTTTTAAAAAATTGCTAAAATTTTAATTATAATTGAGAATTTTGTAGAATTTAGATAAGTTATTTTAAATATTGCTGTTTAAGTATTAATATCTATTAGTCGTGATCCCTGAAACTTATTTATATAATTTTAGCATGCTATTTTATAAAAAAAGTACTCTGAACGAGTTCGGACACCGTAAAAAATATTTATCTTTTAATCAAACCAATAAATTCGTTTAGAGAGAAAAAATAATTATTTTAAAAGCAATTTTTTCTCTCAATTTGATGTATTGTTATTAAATAAATCACAACGAAAAAGATTAATATTTATTCATAACATTTTTTTAAAAAATAAATATATCTTAAATTTGAAACATCAATAAATTGAAATGAATATATTTATTGCAATGCATAAAAAATTACGGGAGAATCACATTTCTTTGCTCCTTTAGTTGATCCACTGATCCTCTCTTCTAAAAACCCGGGGAACGAAGAAATTTTATTCTTTGCTTAAAAATTAATATGGTTCCGCAAATATTTTCTCAGTCAAAAATATTTGAACTGTCAGAATATGTATTTAAGCTCTATCATGCACAAGCTGTAAAAACTTTACATCGCTTCCACAAGGAAATAAAAATATTTGAGCCAGACAAGAAAGAAAATATAGTAAAGCTACGAGAAAAAAATGAAATGGTTCAAAAAACATAAAACAAGAAAAAGAATTTTTTTGAATATTTTGAATGACAGCAAAGACCAAAAAGGGATTTTTTATTACCCTGAAGGGAGGTTTTACTTTCAGATTTATTTGCTGTGTGAATATTTTTCTTTTTATATTTGATTTTTTAAAAATCTTTTTTAAGACACGTGAAAATGATCAAGTTAAAAACAATTATCGTTCTAAGAAATTTTGCTCTGAGGTTAGTACGACATAAGCAAATCACGTATTAAAACATCCATTTGAAACTTGTTATCGAATAAAATTTTTGCGGTTTTAAAAAGAAAAGTTTCTTTTTTTTTGTGGTACTTATTATTATCGCAATAATGCCAATGTTCAAAGTGATTCGCCAAGTTGTCAACTATGTGCTTAGTTTCATGTATTTTCGCCAATACGTTTGTGATAATACGTCAGTATCTTTTTTGTCTTTTTGAATGTATTATTTTGCAATATTAATAAAAGCAAAGGCGATTTGAATTAATTATTTTCCACCCACACACATTTTGAATATTTAAAATAATATTAAAATAATTAGGCTCAGTGATCGAGTGGTAGCGTATCGCGCTTCCACACCATAGGTCCGGGTTCGATTCCCGGGCTGGGCAAGGTTGACTCAGCCTTTCATTCCTAATGCAGTGGGTCGATAAATGAGTACCAAGATTGCTTGGGGACAAACACTGGAGGGTTTGCTTTAGATTGACCACCTGATCGGGACATCTGCTCATGCATCTTAGCGCCCAATGGTCACGTTTACTGGGATGGGCACAGTAGGCCTTGGACCTCATGGGCTGTTGCGCCACTGAGTTTGAGTTTAAAATAATCATAAAAATCTTCTCAAAATTAAGCAGATTGTGAAATAGGAAGATAGTCCAATTCGTAATTCCGACAACCTAAAGATAAATTAAAAGCATGTATTACTTGAAGCGGTGTAACGTATTTTATCGCAACAATCACCAACTTTATTAATAACTGACGAAGTTGGCAACCCCATTTCCTATCTGTCGTATGCGCTGAATTGGCAACCATGCGCTTCGTTTCACATAATGTCGAAAATAGATTACGATAATACGTAAGTACTCTTGAAGCTACTCCAGATTTATCTTAAGCAGTTTTGCCAAGTTTCTGATGATTTCAATTGAGCTTTTAGTATCCCCCCTGATTTATATCCGCAAGTCAAAATTTGTATAATTAATAAACTTCGGGTGTACTTACGTATTACACGGTCGACCAATTTCACCAAACGAAAGGGAAATGCCGAATCATCAAATGTCGTCAAATGCTGCCATCGTTATTTCTGTGTTAAAAGGTGTGCGTGACGGGTTTCCATTATTGGCTACATATCGTGGCATTTTCTAATGTAATTTTGTCTTCCCTCCACTGCTGTTTTTTCAGAGGAATATTTCCTCCCCTCCTTTCTTTTTTAAATAAAAATCCTAAAAATAATGATGCTGTGACGAATTCCATCCTCGGGTCTTCAACTAGTTCTGTTGAGGAAACTGTTCTTTTACCGTGATTTTAGTTTGAAAACCGCTTTCCAAAGATGTGACTTGATTTTATTCTAAGGTAAAGTCTATTTAAACCCTGGTATTGGGTGTATTAGGTTCATTGGGAAATCGTGAAAAGTTAATAGTAGAAAGTGATTTGCAAATAGAGAGAGAGAGAGAGAGAGAGGAAGTTGTGTGCTTGCTGAAGTTAATATTCATTTCAACATCCATTCAGAGCAGTGGAAGGAACTAAAAGTTGATTTGTATCGAGCTGTTACTGTTCAAGGAGGAATTGAGAAGTGATCTACAAGCGGCTCATGAGATAAATTATTTTGAATAATCTTATAAGATAAATTAAAAGTTTAGAGTAAGTTTGCTCCCAAAGTTAATGAATAAATTGTAAATTGCTCATAAAGTGTTAGATCTAAAATAAAAAAGTAATTATTTTTAAAACAATGTCTATTGTGTTGTGTTGTTGTTTTTTCCAATCCCCTTGGAGCAGGAAAGCATACACCAAGTCCATTTGACCATTCCGCGTAATAGTCTCACACACCAGGCCTTGTTCTCCCTACAACTGTCACAGGGATATGCCCCAGCAGCCGAGAAGATGAGTAGAGGAGAAGCAAGGAGAGAGCAGGGACAGGTAAAGAGAAAGACTTTACCCCCTGCACAAAAGTCATACTACGCAGGTGACCGCTTCTAAGGCACACCAAGGCTGTCTGATGAGTCCTGGAACTCCTGTTCTGCTTCTTTCGGTTACAACAATGCATTTTCTTGTTCATGCATTTTTTTGTATTATTTCCTGTATACCTCAGAGGATCGGCTTGTGGCTCTAAGCCCTGAGGGCGAGTTCGATCCTCTCGAGTAAATAAATATCACGAGACATTTGGCGACGTCTTACGATTTGGCGAAATTGTTCAATGGTATAACACGTAAGTGCCGAGTTTTCTTTCTGAAACCAGTTTAGGGCATTAACTTTTTTAATCAAAATTTTTTCTGTAAACTCTGATACAGTTTATTCACTTTCGTTTCTCTCTCTCTTCAAAGATTAATTATTCAAAGGCCAATAGCCAATGAATACCTTTTGTTTTCTTCACTGTAATGGTATTTAAAAATTGAAGCAAGTTGTATTCTGAAATGAAATTGGTGTGCATACCTAGTTAAAAGCTATTTTGGTACTTACGCATTATCGCAACCATATTGGCGCCATAATTGGGGCTGTCTGCAGACCCCAATTATGCCAGACAAAGACATTTTGGAGTTTGTTCAAAGCTCGAAAATATCATTGATGCACATTCCGATGAAGAAAATGAAATTAAATATGCAGCTGCTGTTCCCATGTCATCCGAAACGAGGAACATCATGAAAAGTATACACAGTTATTCAGACGCACGTACCAATGGTCGAATAAATAACAAAATGGACAACATCCAATAATTTGTTAACAATTTGATGCCAAAAAAGACAATGCAAAGAAAAGTATCTGATTATTTTCTAAAAATTTGATAAATGTTTTGATTTTCGAAAACTTGAAATTTTGTATTAAAATTCATTAAGTTATTGTGATTTTTTTGTTTCATTGATTTCTATTAAATTCATGCATATATACATATCTATGTAAATGAAATGTACTCTAATAAACTTAATTTTGTTGAATGTTTATTTCCTTTTGCAATATCCTTTAACACGAAACAATATTTCAATCCCCTCAATTTCGTGTTAAGCGATTTACACTGTATTTGCCCACGCATGATTTTTACTATAATAGACATTTAATCAATAAAATTTTGTAAGAATAATTTTTCTGGCAATATAAATAATAATAATGATCCTATATCATACATGAATTCAAATATATTAGCGCTTGGAACTCTGAAAGTAATTTAAGCCAGTAATTTAGTTTTAGAGCATATATGAAGCAATCAAACCCAAAATAAATGACCTGAGAACAGAAATTTTTTAATTAAATAAGTAAATTCCCAAGATTCTCAACTTGAAAGGTTTAAAGAGTAATAAACTCCTTTTTGGGGTAAATGGAGTAATTAAAGAATTTAAGTAAATTGTTTAAGTACTATCTAAGTTTCATAGAATTTATTCGGGAAGTAAGGACTTTTAGAGAGTAAGACAAAAGCTGTAATACTGAAAGTTCAATACGCTTAATTGCTACATCAGTAAGTGGTGATAATTCTCTTTGAGTAGATAAGAGGTATTCAAAATATCATCTCTCCAATTTTTAGTGAGAACTCAGTTAAATATGCAGACCAAAGATTTTTTTAATTTCCTCTACCTGTTCGATTTTTAGGCCTTTCATGATGTTTTGTTATTTTTAGCCTTA